AAGTGATGTGGTGGAGGCTGACTCAATACACAGTTTCAAGTGTAGATATGATAGAGCCCAATAGGCTCAAGAATCTGTACACCTGTTGATTGACATTTGAGAGACGGGACCAAAGAGCCAGAGCTCAACCCCCGCAAACACAACTTGGTGAGTACAACTAGGTGAGTACACAAGCACCCACCCGTACACCCCACACACTACACCAAAGCAGCACTTCTGACATACACGCCCATAAATAAAGTCGCAAACACTCCTGGAAAAGACCGCAGCAACTACTATATTGTGTAGTGCAAGCACCCCGACAGAAACCCCAAAATACTACCACCGCGTATCCATCCATCTGCCCTACCCCACAGACGAAAAACGTACAGCAATCAAAACCCTGAGCATATTCCAGATCCTCCACGAACTCCGAGGAAACAAGAAAAAAGAGAAATGCAGCAAGTCCAACCGCATTGCAGTACCACAAAAAGTCTCCGTAGTGTCCCGCAACTAGTCCACCAATTCCTAAATCCGCACACAAAAATAAAACATGTGCAACTGCGATTCACATTCCCCACCATGGACATGCCCATCCGAACCCACCAATCTAACATAAACAAACGCGCATTAGTGGGTAACAACTCATGTAACATACGAAAAGCCACCTCCCGAGGCCATGGCGTGATACACTTCTCATGCAATGCTGACCAAATATCCTCCCAATCGAAGCAAGGGTACAGACCATTAACCTTATGAACCACTCAAGAGAAAAGACTCCCATTCACCTCCCTACAACTAAACGACAGAAAACCCAAGAACCGATAAAACGCCCGGAGAATCATCACCCCCAAGAGTACACTGGGAGAGTAAACAGAGTGACATCTCGACACCATGCTAAGACCCGAAAAAAAATCCGATCGGCACCCTATCGAAAAGCTTAGACCAATCCAGGCTGACTGTAGCGGCAGACAAACCAGACTCTGAGAGATACAGAAGCACATCCTGGAAAAGGGAATTGCTTTCATCCAATTGCACATCCAAAGTCATCATTCCAATGACTGACCAAGGACCCTACAAAACTGCTCAACAGACACCACCGTCCCCATTATAGCCCAAAGGTGCCCCACTAACAGCTTGAAAATAATACTATAATCGAGGTTAGCAAAGTGATTGGCCGCCAATTCGCAAAAAAACTGCAAGTCCCCTGGCTTCGGCAGCCGCACAAAACTATCAGTTTGCAAACCAGACAGCATCACCCAGTCCAAACAAAACCAAACATCCTCCAAAAAGTCTGACCTCTGTCACTTCCCAAAATGTGACATACAATTTCATGGGAAGACCATCCGACCCCGGAACTTTCCCCTGACGAAAAAAACAGGCGACATCCCTAAGCTCAAAATGCCAACCACAGCATTTTTGCAAGGCGGAAACCACGCCTACCAACTACAAGACCATGGCAGTCCTCAACCGATAGCCCGGGAGTACAGTGTTGAAGAAAAAACTCCTCCAACCCTTCATCCCCTGTGACCCGCCCATACAAAGCCTCAAGTTCACCACGTACATAGAGCAAGACCCCATCTGTGCTGGACAGTACCGCTCCATCCGGCCGATGGAGACCTGACAATAAATCAGAGGTGCGACCCACCCTCTCCCACCACAGCAAAACCTCCCCCCCCCCCCCCTCGCAAATGTTTCTCAACACCAGCCTTGACTCAAATCCCCTCTGCAGTCTTTTCCTACAACCCCACGAAGATGCTCCTTACACGAGAGGATCTTCCATGACCTATCCAAACCCCTGTTAACAAACCCATATAGCCGACACAACCTTGCTTATAAAACCCGCAACAACCCAAAACTCCCCGCTTTGCCAAAACAACAAAAAAAGACTGACACTCACCCTTGCACAACTCCCTCTATTTTAGAACTGAGGGAAACCCGTCCTTCTGAGCAGCCACCAAAGCCCACCTCTCCCGAAAGATATCAACAACCCCCAGACACTCCCGTAACCCATAATTTAGCTTCCACCAGCCCCGACCAACCCGCACCTGACTCCGTACCCCCACCTTCGGCACAACAATACAATGATCGGGAAAGCTCACTGGAACTGTATAAAAAGAGAAAACTGCCCCTTCCCCCCTTATGGATGTTAAAATGGTCGAGACACGAACAAGACCCCCAAGCAGCAAACAGGAAATCCAACGCACCCCCGAGCACGACCGCAGCATCCCTGAACCCACAACCCTGCAAAGTCATGGACAAAGCAGAGGAGAGATTAGCTGGACAAATACTATTACTATCATGCACCGACGTGATACAGTTAAAATCACCCTCCCCCCCCCCCCACAGAATCATCCCACATGTATCATGCTACAAAAAAATTAATAATACACTGGAAAACAACGCCCGCTCACGCCGCCGCGTGAGCCCCCAGACGGCGGGTAAATGGTCAACGAGGTAACCACCACCACAAGACACGAAACCCCAACCAACAACACCCAAACCATCCTCATCCTTTTCCATGTGAAGCACGGAAATAGGCGTCCTTCGTGAAACGAGGATGAGCATACCCCTAACCTGAGACCATGATGGGTTCAACACCACCCTAAAGCACTCGTCCATCACCTGCAATAGATCCACAACCCCAACATTATGTTACTGCACAAAGGCTACATCCACTCAACGTCCATGCAGCAGGGACACTAGCCCCATCTGAACAGCTTCAAACCCCAGGCCACTGATATTGAGCAATGCACAAGTTATAGACGGAGCCATTGAGAAAGAGTTGCACAGAACCCTCCAAAGCACCCGTCAATCAGAAGCAACTGACACCCCTCATGGGAGCACCACCAACACCCTAAGGAACCCCACACAGGTGCGAGGCAGCTGCCACTGGAGGCAAGGCCCCAGACCCCTTACACAGGGTCAAAAAAAGGCTAGCCATACCCCCGGCGCACCCCCCAGGGTCAAACCACACCCTATTCTGGGGTTCGACAGCCAGAGGGACGCCAGACATGGCCTCAGAGGGAGGCGCATCACACACACACACACCACCCACCGGTCTCAAAGGAGGTACAAGAGAGGCCTCCGCATCAACAATACCACACTCACCGTCTGGAGATGCTGCCCGCCTGCCAGAGCCCACGCATCATGACCGAGCACTCCCATCATGCTACCGACGCTTCGGTACTATAGCACATTGATCCTGCTGGAAAAACTCCTGTGGTCGGCAAAGCGGACGGGCCCCCTTCCGGAGGTACATCGGCCCCCAAAGTAGAGCCAGGAGCACACACTTCTAGGAGCACCAGGGGCACCAGAGAGGCCAGGACCACCATACACTGGCGTCAGCACCAGACCAACCTTCGTCGAGGAATCCCTACCCACCTCAACTGGGATCGGCACAGGATGCACCTCAACACGCCCGTCCATGGCACCCGAAACCTCCCCCAAGCTGGGGCAACAGAAACAGGATACAGCCCGCACAGTATCCGCAGCAGGGCACACCATCACCAGGAGACCACCAGTGGTAAGTCGTGCAGGACGAGCATCCACTCCAACATCCTCACCCCAAGAAGCCGCAGGGAGTTCCAGAAGCGGGAAATGCTCCTCCTGGAAGATTTTCACGTTGGCCTACTGGCCAGCCCTAGAATGGCACGCTGCCACCATATTGCTGGACATCCAGCACCGAAAACAGGTGCATAGCTGCCCTGCGTAGAAACATTGGATGGAGTACCCCATCAACGACAATGATGACGGGATATGAGTATGGACCTTCATAGTCAGCGTACGAGTGCCATTGGAATACCGAACAGACAGCCCGACATGATGATGTCCACACAACAATGGAAAACCCAGCCATACCCCCAAAAAACCTGTGGACCAAGTCCTCGGGGGACCCAAAAGGCAGCCTCCTCACCACCACCCATTTGGCCGACTCACTGCGATCTGAGACATGCACAGAGCCCGCACCATCAGGTAACTGCTGAGTCGTCTCATCAAACCGCTGCACAAACTCGTGGAACATCACAGCGCGGTTGAATTTCACCAAGGTGCGGTGCCCATCACCCAGCTGCACCCCTGCCACGTCCTTAACTGCTACACCCAAAATTTCCAGTAACGCCTCCTCAACAACTGAGTAGTGCACACTCCCAACAAAGTCCAGCTCAATAGTAAACATGCGCCTCATAGGCGCCGTATGCAACGATATGCCACACGGCTCTCGGGCACACCAAACCGGAGCACAAAAACCATCCACTGGCAGCACTAGGGCGAGACTGAGGAACTACTGTGTAAACAACCTCCTGCGCTGACGGCTGAAAGCCAAGTCAACGTTCTGACAGGTCGTCACATTATGTTAACACCTGCCATGCATGTTATCACCTGCCATGCATGTTATCGCCTGCCATGCATGTTATCACTTGCCATGCATGTTAACACCCATCATGCATTTTAACACTTGCCATGCAAGCCCTTGAGGGGCTGGTCCCAAACCTGCACACAGAAATAACATCACATGAGACCAGAAGACATGGCAGGATGTGCAGAATACCCCCGGTGAAAAACAGAGGTGCAACTGGTACTCTGAGAGAGAACTCTATCAACATCAGAAGTCCGAGACTGTTCAACACGCTTCCACTACAAATAAGGGGCATAACTGGCCGACCCCTCACAGTGTTCAAGAGAGAACTGGATAAGCACCTCCAAAGGATGCCTGATCAACCAGGCTGTGACTCATACGTCAGGCTGCGAGCAGCCGCGTCCAACAGCCTGGTTGATCAGTCCGGCAACCAGGAGGCCTGGTCGACGACCGGGCCGCGGGGACGCTAAGCCCCGGAAGCACCTCAAGGTAACCTCAAGGTAAGGTATGCATGCTAACACCTGCCATGTATGTTAACACCTGCCATGCATGTTAACACCAGCATGACAGATGTTAACAGCTTTGATAAATCTCATTGTTAGGCCTTGCCAGTCATACTAAAAATGTTCTTAAAATTAAACCTGTACTCGTGTTCCTCACGCAGGTGTTCGACGAAGCTGAGGAGGAAGGGTTCAAGCCTTACTTGCTGAACATCGGTGGAGGGTTTCCCGGGCAGGACGACGTGCTGCTGACGAAACACGCTGACTGTATAAACAAGGCACTCAACCACTTCTTCCCTGATGACGGACGAGTTGAGGTGAGGCACTCGACGACACACTCCATCTTGCGCTTGGTGTTTTGGGTTCTAGCTTTGTATATGGGAAGCTTCCTGAGAAAACCAACCTCCGTAACTCCTCTTTACCCGAGTGGCCTTATGCTTCGCTAGTATCTGCTTGCTATTGCATACACAAACCACTTAAATAACTGAAACATGTGAAGACTGAACACACAGCTACTGTTGCTAACACAGGATGGCAGAACTACTGTGCAACTGAAGTGAAAGAAAGGACACCACTCCACTGCATGGAGCCCTTCACCTTAGTTGGTTGTTATCCAACGAGAAGTGTTTACTTATAATTCATGTGGTGAGTAGGGAGTAGGTTGGTGTCATGATCATTGTTATATGTTCGTGAAGGTAAAGGTCAGCTGAGAGTTGACAGACCGAAGGGTAGCTATTGTTCCCTCCGCCCAGTAAAGTTGACCCGCACTATATTTATTGATTTGCACTCCTATTTTTTCTACAAAAGAATATTAAAGTAAATATTCAAAGAGTTTTCAAACCGATTAAACTTGTGTTATTGTGAAGCAAGCATCAGCGTGTGTCGATGATAGACGGAACCAGCATGGCAGACAGCTTACTTATGTAAGTCTCGCTTGTGGTGGAGCATTTTCATCTCCCACATGTTTCAACTAAGCCACTATATGTACTACTTATTATAGAAAGATACTGTCATTCTCAGTAACACTGAGTACTAAACATAGTCCAGATTTCATACAATATTTACTGTGTGCAAATTGATGTTATAAGAGAAGAACTTGATATTTAATTGATATCATAATATCATAGCAGAAGAAAAGGATCTTGGAGTCATAAGCCACTATTCACTAAAGGTTGCACAGCAGGTAGGGGCAGCAGGCAAAAATCAAAGCAAACCCTTTGAATAATCAAGCGTACCTTTGAATTTAAGGAAAGAAGCTAGTGTAATTGTTTAAATTTCTGATGCGGCCCCATTTGGATTACTGTATCCAAGCATGGAGACCTCATCTTCAGAAGGACATAGCTGCTCTGGAGAAAGTGCAACACTGGGCAATTGAAATTATTCCAGAGTTAAGTCAATTCCCGTATCAGGAACGGTTGAGGACCACAAGGTTAGCAACACTGCAAACCAGGCATGACAGGGCGGAGCTCATTGAAACTTTTAAAATACTGAACAATTTGGAAAAATGCTGATCCAGACAGTTTCTTCAAATGATTTTTTCAAGCCCATTTGCCTCGATGATCGTTTCCCGCTGTATTTTAAAACCTCCACAGAGTTTTGGCATTTACGGCTCAGACGGGTAGGCGGCTTCTTGGGTTTATAACCCTTGGGTGAAAAAACATCTCCTGTTCTCAGTCCTACATTGTGGTTTGTTTAGCTTGAAACTGTTGCTTCTTGTTTGTGTTGAATCTGACCTTTTGAAGAAATTTTCTGGATCAAGCGTACCTTTGGCTTTAAGGAAAGGAAAGTAGCTATTCAATTGTATAAATCTCTGGTGCGCCCTCATTTGGATTACTGTATCCAAGCATGGAGACCTCATCTCCAGTAGGACATAGCTGTTTTGGAGAAAGTGCAACAGCAGATAACAAATATCATTCCAGAGCTAAGTTAATTCCAATATCAGGAACTGTTAGCCCTGTTGGCCACAGGGCTAACAACACTGCAAACCAGGCATGACAGGGCGGAGTTCATTGAAACTTTTAAGATACTGAACAATTTGGAAGATGTTAATGTGCACAATTTCTTCAAACGGTCAGATGTAACACAAACAAGGAGCAACAGTTTTAATCTCAACAAGCCACAATGTTGGACCAAGAACAGGAGACACTGGGATGTTCGCTGTTTGTGCTACTGTGTGACAATCGTTCCTTCTGCCTCCTCCACGATGCATGCTGGGCCAGAGACACCTATGGCCTGAGTCCGGTGGGGTTAGCGTTCCTCATGTAATTCATTTATTTCACCCCTCGTGATGATGATCAAGCATATCAGGCAGCTTCTACTGTGTGGGTTCGTTTGCCCACCTTCAGTGGTCTGGGTTGTGTGCTCATTCGGATGCACCAGAGCTAGCCCACCTTGTATTAGGTTCCTGGAATTGGTGTTGTAGGTGAACCCCACCTTGGCTCATTCTGCACCTCCTGTTCCTTACCCTTTAGGTGTGGTTGTACCTCACCCTTTGGTGGGTGTCCCATATCTTTCCAGTTTTGAAACAGGATTCAATGAAGTTCCGGTTCATCCTCGATCTTTCGGGATTGAACCAGTTCATCCCTTGCCTCCACTTTCTGGGTGACCACTTTAACCCAGGTTCGTCTCGTATTAAGGGAGAGTGTCTGGGCGATTTCCCTGAACCTCTGGAATACATATTGACACGTCTCTATTCATCTGGGGTTCGGAGATTGGTTAGGTTTTCTTGTGGGGCGTCAGGCTTACTGCTTTCGGATTCATCCCTTTGTCTTGCATCTGGCTTCCCATGTTTTATCAGGTTCGCTTGGGTCTTGGTGACTACTTCATTTGTTGGGGTTCATGTTCTGGCCTACCTCGATGGCTGGATAGTGTGGCCCTTAGTCCACATGTCTGCAAGCCATGGATCTGGCTCTGCCTCAGCTTTCTTGGTTTGGGTTCCTAGTGAACTGGGGAAAGTTCCAGTTGGTTCCGTCCCAGGTTCAGAATTGGCTGGGCCTCATGTAGTGTTCTTGATATCACTTTCCCTTCCTCCGACGACTATGCTTCGACTCCAATGCCGCCGCCTGCTGGTGTTACAGCGGCCCCAGGTGATGGCAGTTACTCGAGCTTTTTTGAGGGGCCTGAACTTTACCTGTGTTTTTTATTCTGCAGGGCAAGGTGTGGTTTCAGGGGGTTGTTCTGGTGTCTCTGGTTCTGCCCCTTTTAGCCACCACGGTGACCACTGGGTGCCGGCTTAGTTTGCCCTTCGCTGACTGCTGCATCATCAGCATCCTTTTCGGCCTTTTCAGGATTCAGTTACCTGGCACCTTCCCTCCCCCTTGCTTGACGTCTTCACACGTGCCTCAGCTTTGGGTTGGGGCTTTGCGACCAGCGCTTACCAGACCATTCAGGGTCACTGGCCACCCCTCTTTGGGGTGCAAAGTTCGGTGCTTAAGTTTGTAGATATGTGGCATGCTCTGAGGAGGATTAGGATTCCTCCGGGATCGATGATGAGGATCCGTTCGGACTGTGACCCAGTGGTTCATGGTTTGAACTAGGGAGTATGCTCTTTATTCTCTTGCCCTTAGGAATTGGACTCTTGAGTGTATATCATCTGCTGGATTCTCAAGGTGTGGTTCTCCACATGGTTCACATTCAGGAAGTGTCTAGTGCTCTCTTGGATGATCTGTTCCAGTTCCTTCCTGTCATCATCGAATGCATCGTCAACTCCGCCTCCTGCCTTCGTGTTCTTCCTCTTTATGTAGCTTCATACCCATTTACAAGGCCCTCATTATGGGTCCCATTCAGTTGGACTGGTGGCAGTGGGGATTTCTGTGTCTCTTGTTAAAGTACAACCAATGGAGGGTTGTTCTTCAGGCTACTTGGTGGCCAGCTCAGCCTTGGTTTTAGGCACTGATTGCTTGATATCTGAACTCGGGTGTTTTTCCTTGGTATCACTTCTTTCAGAAGATCGGCCCATTGACGTCTCATCTCCGTGGCTTTTCCTGTCTGTTATTTTGCATGCATCTTTATAGCCATTTCTTCGGTGATCAGGTGGCTACGTAAATCGTGCCCCACTTACTGTTGTCTTTTCGGCAGCATTATGAGTTTTTTAGTGCTCTTTATGCACTGAGTTCCTCGACTCTGCCTGCATTCAGAGCGCCGCGCTATACACACTCACCTCCCATCCGAGCTCTCCACCCCTGGCCTCACTCAGCTCTTTGCCCTGCTCCTGGCCTCACTCAGCTCTTTGCCCTGCTCCAGGCCTCACTCGGCTCTTTGCCCTGCTCCTGGCCTCACTCGGCTCTTTGCCCTGCTCCTGGCCTCACTCGGCTCTTTGCCCTGCTCCTGGCCTCACTCGGCTCTTTGCCCTGCTCCTGGCCTCACTCAGCTCTTTGCCCTGCTCCTGGCCTCACTCGGCTCTTTGCCCTGCTCCTGGCCTCACTCAGCTCTTTGCCCTGCTCCTGGCCTCACTCGGCTCTTTACCCTGCTCCTGGCCTCACTCGGCTCTTTGCCCTGCTCCTGGCCTTACTCGGCTCTTTGCCCTGCTCCTGGCCTCACTCGGCTCTTTGCCCTGCTCCTGGCCTCACTCGGCTCTTTGCCCTGCTCCTGGCCTCACTCGGCTCTTTGCCCTGCTCCTGGCCTCGCTCGGCTCTTTGCCCTGCTCCTGGCCTCGCTCGGCTCTTTGCCCTGCTCCTGGCCTCACTTAGCTCTTTGCCCTGCTCCTGGCCTCACTCGGTTCTTTGCCCTGCTCCTGGCCTCACTCAGCTCTTTGCCCTGCTCCTGGCCTCACTCGGCTCTTTACCCTGCTCCTGGCCTCACTCAGCTCTTTGCCCTGCTCCTGGCCTCACTCAGCTCTTTGCCCTGCTCCTGGCCTCACTCGGCTCTTTGCCCTGCTCCTGGCCTCACTCAGCTCTTTGCCCTGCTCCTGGCCTCACTCGGCTCTTTGCCCTGCTCCTGGCCTCACTCGGCTCTTTGCCCTGCTCCTGGCCTCACTCGGCTCTTTACCCTGCTCCTGGCCTCACTCGGCTCTTTGTCCTGCTCCTGGCCTCACTCAGCTCTTTGCCCTGCTCCTGGCCTCACTCGGCTCTTTACCCTGCTCCTGGCCTCACTCGGCTCTTTGCCCTGCTCCTGGCCTCACTCGGCTCTTTGCCCTGCTCCTGGCCTCACTCGGCTCTTTACCCTGCTCCTGGCCTCACTCGGCTCTTTGCCCTGCTCCTGGCCTCACTCGGCTCTTTGCCCTGCTCCTGGCCTCACTCGGCTCTTTGCCCTGCTCCTGGCCTCACTCGGCTCTTTGCCCTGCTCCTGGCCTCACTCGGCTCTTTGCCCTGCTCCTGGCCTCACTCGGCTCTTTGCCCTGCTCCTGGCCTCACTCGGCTCTTTGCCCTGCTCCTGGCCTCACTCGGCTCTTTGCCCTGCTCCTGGCCTCACTCGGCTCTTTGCCCTGCTCCTGGCCTCACTCGGCTCTTTGCCCTGCTCCTGGCCTCACTCGGCTCTTTGCCCTGCTCCTGGCCGCACTCGGCTCTTTACCCTGCTCCTGGCCTCACTCGGCTCTTTGCCCTGCTCCTGGCCTCACTCGGCTCTTTGCCCTGCTCCTGGCCTCACTCGGCTCTTTGCCCTGCTCCTGGCCTCACTCGGCTCTTTACCCTGCTCCTGGCCTCACTCGGCTCTTTGCCCTGCTCCTGGCCTCACTCGGCTCTTTGCCCTGCTCCTGGCCTCACTCGGCTCTTTGCCCTGCTCCTGGCCTCTCTCGGCTCTTTGCCCTGCTCCTGGCCTCTCTCGGCTCTTTACCCTGCTCCTGGCCTCACTCGGCTCTTTACCCTGCTCCTGGCCTCACTCGGCTCTTTGCCCTGCTCCTGGCCTCACTCGGCTCTTTGCCCTGCTCCTGGCCTCACTCGGCTCTTTGCCCTGCTCCTGGCCTCACTCGGCTCTTTACCCTGCTCCTGGCCTCACTCGGCTCTTTGCCCTGCTCCTGGCCTCACTCGGCTCTTTGCCCTGCTCCTGGCCTCACTCGGCTCTTTGCCCTGCTCCTGGCCTCACTCGGCTCTTTACCCTGCTCCTGGCCTCACTCGGCTCTTTGCCCTGCTCCTGGCCTCACTCGGCTCTTTGCCCTGCTCCTGGCCTCACTCGGCTCTTTGCCCTGCTCCTGGCCTCTCTCGGCTCTTTGCCCTGCTCCTGGCCTCTCTCGGCTCTTTGCCCTGCTCCTGGCCTCTCTCGGCTCTTTACCCTGCTCCTGGCCTCACTCGGCTCTTTACCCTGCTCCTGGCCTCACTCGGCTCTTTGCCCTGCTCCTGGCCTCACTCGGCTCTTTGCCCTGCTCCTGGCCTCACTCGGCTCTTTGCCCTGCTCCTGGCCTCACTCGGCTCTTTGCCCTGCTCCTGGCCTCACTCGGCTCTTTGCCCTGCTCCTGGCCTCACTCGGCTCTTTGCCCTGCTCCTGGCCTCACTCGGCTCTTTGCCCTGTTCCTGGTTCTTCACTACACTGCCAACAAACCGACTGCTGTAACCAAGACTATACAAAATAGATAACAAAAAAAACACTAAACTCTGTGTGTCTAATCAACCAAATATGTTCACGTAAACATTCATTACATATATTTCTAATTTAAATGTTTAAAACTTACAAAGATATTTTAAAATGCACTGTATATCATGACTATATTTGTTGTCTTGCATGGAGAACATTTACAAAAAGAGCGATTTTTAATAGAGCTATATTTATTGCATTTAGTAGTTCATATACTGAGAGCATTGCATTTGATTTCAATGCATTGTAATTGATCTGAATTTTACATAATTCATCATGACAGGTGATTAGTGAGCCAGGTCGTTACGTGGCGACCAAATGCTTCACCCTGGTGACAACCATCATTGGTAAGAGACGAGTGGTGGTGGAGGGACAGGTCCACCCCACCTCCAACTGCCAGGGGCAGGTCCACCCCACCTCCAACAGCCAGGGGCAGGTCCACCCCACCTCCAACAGCCAGGGGCAGGTCCACCCCACCTCCAACAGCCAGGGGCAGGTCCACCCCACCTCCAACAGCCAGGGACAAGTAGGGGTGCAGGTGTCGGGACCCCCAACCACCAGTGGCCAGGAACAGACTGGGACGCAGGAGTCGGAGCACCCCGCGACCGTCATGTACTATATCAACGAAGGCACCTACTCCTCTTTTGCTTTAACCAGAACTCATTTCGTCCCTGACCCCCCAACACCACTGGAGGTAAGGACACTATAGTAAGGAAACTGTTTAAAAATAAAATGAACTTTGGTTTGTAATATATATAATCTACAGTATATCTCTAAAAGACAATGATCCCATCCGTTGTTCGATGTTGGGAGCTTGACGCATGGGGTCTAGCCTCAAACTTTGCAGGGTGACTTGTCTTCCTTCCGGGATGGTCATAGTACTGAGACTGAGCTTCTTAGCCAACGTTTTCATGAAATAGCAAATGACTAATTTTCAATTTCAGAAAATACCATACTCTGTCCTCACTAATCCGTGCAGTCGCAATGGTCGAACACTTTCTTCTGTTAATTATCTTACCTCTATCCATACTAATACTCACCTAGATAAGTAATGACTGTGGGAGCAAAATGAGAGTGGGAGTAAGCTACAGGGCTGACAGCAGCAGCAGAGGATGTTGCTGATCTGTATTATGTGATCAAAGCCGCATCAGAAACCCAAACCCTAATAATGAGGGATTTTATCCAAGAGACCATAGAATGGCCAACTCTAACTTCACAAGCAGAGGAAGAACAATTTCTAGACCTGGTGCAGTACTCCTTTCTAATACAGCATGTGGTAGAGCCCACACGTGGTAGCAGCATACTATACTAGGTCGGGTGCCCCCGACCGTCCAAGTGGTTGGGGGCACCATTCATATCCCCCCCCCCCGTCACATCCCAAATCCTTATCTTGTCCCCTTCCAAGTGCTATATGGTCATAATGGCTTGCCGCTTTCCCCTGATAATTCCTTCCTTGTGCTGACAACAGAGGGCATGATTGATCAAATTCAGTTAGGGTAAAAGCTAACCTCCTCATGTGATCACGTTATTTTATATAATAATAATAATTTTTATTTAGGTAAAGGTACATACATAAAGAGATTTTACAAAGTTTGTTGGCTTTATAGATAGAGTTTAAGATGGACTACAAATACAGAAACCCACATAGAGGCCCGTGATGATGAATTTCTAGTGTGACATGATATGAAATAGTGCAGTAACTATTCTGGCAGGTGTTGTGCCAAACAGTAACTATTCTGGCAGGTGTTGTGCCAAACAGTAACTATTCTGGCAGGTGTTGTGCCAAACAGTAACTATTCTGGCAGGTGTTCTGCTAAACGCACATAAATAAAAAAAAATAAAATGAAATAATTCTGCTTGGGTCCTCTACAGTATCAATTGCAGGCAAAAAAACAAAGAATAAAAACTTTAAACATTTAATATAACAAAAAGTTACTTTAATTTTACACAAAATGACAAGTAACCATTAATGAAAGCAAAACCCCTTATCCACTTGGCTTAAACACAAACAAAAGAGAGATATATACATATGAATTTTACATTAATAACAGAGGTACAGGAAATACTTTATACCAAATGCTATGTACATTCACCATCACCTGTGGTCGAGAGTAGATGCTAAAGCAATGAGCACTAAAAGGGTAGTCTGCTGTGCTGGACGCTGGCAACCCTTATATATGGGGCATGACGTCATAGTTGGCGCAAATTCTGGAGCTGTAGACTAGAAGCCGGCAAGATAATGAAAGGTAGAGTGGAGTGGGGAGGGAGAGGCGTGTCTAGACAATACGTTTTGTTGTTGTTGAAGTCGAGTCTTGATGTTGGAGTATGCAGATTCATTGGTGGTAAGGAACAGGCAGAATCTACTGCTATGCAGGAGATAACCATAACAGCTTCTCCCTGAAGCCTGTTCCTATCGCCTGAAATGCTGCTGCAGAGTGGAGATATGAATGAAGTGGCGGGTTCCACCTCATGGACTCTCGAGAGTGCGTCGTTTGAGACGACGTCGTTCGAGATATTGATACGAAATATGTTGATGATGTAATGTTGCAGTGCTCAGTGTGAAGTACGAGTTTATTGGAGAACAGAACCCTGCTTTTCCTTCCTGCTTTACCTTACTGGGAAAGCCAGATGACTCAAACAGAAAACGGGAAACTACATCACTTTCGTGAACCGATTTCATTTCAAATTAAGTCCATTTTTGGCCATAGCGCGGATACGAGCAAAAAGCGACGTTATTTTTAAGAGGACGGGTTGGAATAAGAGTAAGAGAGGGGAAGGTGAGAGAGAAGAGTGAGGGATAGGGTGATAGAGAGAGAGGGAGAGAGAGAGAGAGAGAGAGAGAGAGAGAGAGAGAGAGAGAGAGAGAGAGAGAGAGAGAGAGAGAGAGAGAGAGAGAGAGAGAGAGAGAGAGCGAAAGTGAGAGGGAGAGGGAGAATGTGAGGGAGAGAGAGAGGGAAGGTGAAAAGAGGGGGTGAGAGTGAAAGAGGGAGGTGGGTGTCACATTTTTGGGGGGTTTGTGCCCCCCAAAATGGGAGGTAGGAAGAGGGGTGTTATGGGGGAGCGAGGGGATAGGAAGGTGAAGAGCGAGATTTAAACTGATCAGTCTCTCACGGAAGTGTTGCCATGTGTGCGTGTGTGTGTGTGTGTGTACTCACCTATTTGTGCCTGCAGGATCGAGCACTGATTCTTGGATCCCGCCTTTCGAGCATCGGTTGTTTACAGCAATGACTCCGGTCCTATTTCCCTATCATACCTACTTTTAAAATAATAATAGAATTTGCTTCCACAACCTGCTCCTTAAGTGCGTTCCATTTTTCCACTACTCTCACACTAAAAAAAAAAAAAAAAAACTTCTTAACACCTCTGTGACTCATCTAAGTTTCCAGCTTCCACCCATGTCCCCTCATTCTGTTACTATTAGGTGTGAACATTTCGTCAATCTCCACTCTGTCAATCCCCCCCCAAGTATTTTATACGTTTTTATCATATCTCCCCTCTCCCTTCTTTTTTCTAGTGTCGTAAGGCTCAGTTCCTTCAGGCACTTTTCATACCCCATCCCTTGTAATGCTGGGGACGAGTCTCGTTGCAAACTTCTCTTCAGTTTCTTTGTGTGTTTCTTCAGATGGGGACTCCATGATTATGTTATGGCCACAATGGGTCGCAATCGAGTTCTTTGATAGAGGAACCAATGTTCTGGTATCCGACCCCAAGTTAGTAGTTGCTTTCAAGGAGTGAGCTTGGTAATGCAAGTAAAACACAATGGGGGAGTTGCATTGAATACGACACTTCAACAATTAACAATATATTCACATATAATCACTTCCCCATCACCTTAAATATAATCATAAACGAAGTACTACTACACTGATATATACACATGTGTCGCTCTCATAGGACACTAAGCTCTCCTCTGTGCTCATGCGGTGCAGCCTTGTCAACTTCCGTGTTCCCTCAACACAGTACCGTCCTCAACCAGTACTGGGAAACACCAACGAGTCTACCCTAGCCATGGGCCAGCCTATACACAGTCTCAGTAGGTGCTCCTTGTGAACGCCCACAATTACTCTCCAGCCTGGTGCTGGCAGAGAACATCAGCCTCGCGCTGCTGGGCCTCTACACGAACAAATACAATGGTAGCGAACCCCTGGCAGGAGCTTCTTGCAACTAGCTAGTTATACTCCTCCGTAGCACCTCACTGTCGGTCGTCTCTTCCTCTAGCCAGTCCCTGGATACACCGAATTCTGTCACTGCCACTTCACAGGCAGACAGCAGACACTACACAGTTTCTCTTCGGCGGCGGCTCACTGCTCACATAAAGCAGAACTGAGTCGAGAGATAATAGGCTGCCCTCGGTAGACTGACTGTCTTCGTACCACCGCAGCCCTACGTCGTCTCTGTGGATACAGGCACGTCATCAGTAAACTGGCCAGTACTTGGGACACTAGGAAATACCACTTACGGACTCTGACATAGACATACAACTCATCCTACAATAGATGGCGCTGATTTTCTAGGCACCACCTCACCAGAGGTCAGCAACAGCGACTCTTCGGGCTGACCAAGGCAAGAATCTAGAGTCTCTGACAGGTATTCTACTGCCACCACCAGATGGCGTCGTACATTTTGTGCGGGTTAAGGGAGCAGATTCACAGCTGGCATACTCTAAGACTGGCCTCACGCAGGCAGTGTAGAACGCCCTAAATGCCTCCTTACTTAGGTTTGGTGTATGGTGTGTGTGTGTGTGTGTACTCACCTATATGTACTCACCTATATGTGCTTGCAGGATCGAGCATTGACTCTTGGATCCCGCCTTTCTAGCTATCGGTTGTTTACAGCAATGACTCCTGTCCCATTTCCCTATCATACCTAGTTTTAAAAGTATGAATAGTATTTGCTTCCACAACCTGTTCCCCAAGTGCATTCCATTTTTCTACTACTCTCACGCTAAAAGAAAACTTCCTAACATCTCTGTGACTCATCTGAGTTTCCAGTTTCCACCCATGTCCCCTCGTTCTGTTATTATTACGTGTGAACATTTGATCTATTTCCACTTTGTCAATTCCCCTGAGTATTTTATATGTCCCTATCATATCTCCTCTCTCCCTTCTTTTCTCTAGTGTCGTAAGGTTCAGTTCCTTCAGCCGCTCTTCATATCCCATCCCTCGTAGCTCTGGGACAAGCCTCGTCGCAAACCTCTGAACCTTCTCCAGTTTCTTTATGTGTTTCTTCAGGTGGGGGCTCCATGATGGCGCGGCATACTCTAAGACGGGTCTCACGTAGGCAGTGTAAAGCGCCCTAAAAGCTTCCTCATTTAGGTTTCTGAATGAAGTTCTAATTTTCGCCAGTGTAGAGTACGCTGCTGTCGTTATCCTATTTATATGTGCCTCAGGAGTTAGATTAGGTGTCACATCCACTCCCAGGTCTCTTTCTCGAATCGTTACAGGTAGGCTGTTCCCCTTCATTGTGTACTGTCCCTTTGGTCTCCTGTCACCTGATCCCATTTCCATAACTTTACATTTACTGGTGCTAAACTCCAGTAGCCATTTCTCTGACCATCTCTGCAGCCTGTTTAAGTCCTCTTGGAGGATCCTACAATCCTCGTCTGTCACAACTCTTCTCATTAATTTTGCGTCATCTGCAAACATCGACATGTATGATTCCACTCCTGTAAACATATCATTTACGTAAATTAGA